GTCCTTAAGTCAATCAGGAAATGTCACAGACCTACTGAAGGATGTGTAGATTGTATAGGAATTCTTTTTGGCACAGTAGGGGTTCACTGCAGGAAAACATTTAGTAATGGCCGTTTTCAATTGTTTTTCAAATAAACCTGTCCTTTGCCACCAAAAAGTAAATATGTTTCATGTGTTCTATTTATCAGACAGTGGTGCTAAGTAAATATGTTTCATGTGTTCTATTTATCAGACATTTTTTACTTAGCACCTATGTTTCATGTGTTCTATTTATCAGACAGTGGTGCTAAGTAAATATGTTTCATGTGTTCTATTTATCAGACAGTGGCGCTGATAAATAGAACACATGAAACATATTTACTTACTGTCTTTTACTTAGCACCCTATTTTTCTGCAGGTGGTGAAACACTACACACGCGTAGCTGCTGAAGAAACTAGATACGTGATGTCAGGACTGAAGAAAGGTCACATGTTTCTCTTCCGAGTGAGCGCGGAGAACGCAGCGGGCGTGGGGCGTGCTCTAATAAACAAGACGCCCGTGAGGATCCGCTCGATCAGGAGTGAGTGTTGTTGAGAAAACACTGTGTTGATTTATCTGTTATTGTGGTGAACTAACGTTCTTCTGTATTAGAATTCATAACAGTAAGGGATGATGTGGTGAACTAACGTTCTTCTATATTAGAATTCATAACGGCAAGGGATGATGTGGTGAACTAACGTTCTTCTATATTAGAATTCATAACGGTAAGGGATGATGTGGTGAACTAACGTTCTTCTATATTAGAATTCATAACGGTAAGGGATGATCTTGTGAACTAACGTTCTTCTGTATTAGAATTCATAACGGTAAGGGATGATGTGGTGAACTAACGTTCTTCTATATTAGAATTCATAACGGTAAGCTACACAATGAGCTACCTGTGCTCTGCTCACCACGGGTATCAAAACCCGATGTTTAACGTTATAAGCTAACTAAGGCATCACACTCTAGTTGTCGTTAAACATTACAGTTATAAATATTCATGTAAGAATCGTGATTAACTAAGAAAGCTTTGTGTTTCAGTGAAGCCTTCTCCACCTGGTAAACCCGTAGTGGAATTTAATAACGAGGCTGGTGATAGTGTCCACCTGTCGTGGTCTCCTCCAGAGTTAAGTGGTAGTGCCCCAATCAGGACCTACATAGTTGAACGTTTCGACTTGCTTTCGGACATCTGGGTGAGGATCAACCGTGAAGAATTTACGTCACCATGCTTTACCGCCACCGATCTTCAGCCTGGGCTGGAATACACTTTCCGCGTGAGTGCTGAGAATGAAGTCGGAATCAGTAAACCTGGAACGTCGTCAGAACCCGTGATTATCAGGACTAAACGAGGTTCTAATACCTACTTTAACATTGGCTTACAATAATATTTGTGGATCATACATGTAACACTGCTATTTACCCTATCGTTATCGTCATTCAGAAAGTTTATAATATACTGCTTAGATCACACATATAACACTGATTTATACCCTATCGTTATCGTCATTCAGAAAGTTTATAATATACTGCTTAGATCATAAATGTAACACTGAACGATAGGGTATAAATCAGTGTTACATTTATGGTCTAAGCAGTATATTATAAACTTTCTGAATGACGATAACGATAGGGTATAAATCAGTGTTATATGTGTGATCTAAGCAGTATATTATAAACTTTCTGAATGACGATAACGATAGGGTATAAATGAATATATTCTGAACGACGATAACAGTAAGGTATACAGCAGTGTTACATATATGATATAAACAGTATAATATAGAGTTTCTCAATAACGATAACGATAGGGTATATAGCAGTGTTACATTTGTAATATAAGTATTATAGTATAGATTTTCTGAATATGAATAACGATAGGGTAAATAGCATTATTACATTTATGTTCTAATCACCACAGTATAGATTTTCTGAATCAGGATAACGATAAGGTATATCACAGTGTTAAATGTATGATCTAAACAGTATAGCATAGATTTTCTGAATATGAATAACGATAGGGTAAATAGCATTATTACATTTATGTTCTAATCACCACAGTATAGATTTTCTGAATCAGGATAACGATAAGGTATATCACAGTGTTAAATGTATGATCTAAACAGTATAGCATAGATTTTCTGAATAAGAGTAACGATAGGGTATAAATCAGTGTTACATTTATGGTCTAAGCAGTATATTATAAACTTTCTGAATGACGATAGTATACTTTCTAGTTCATACACGTAACACTGCTGTATACCTTACTGTTATCGTCGTTCAGAATATATTCAGTATACTTTCTAGTTCATACATGTAACACTGCTGTATACCTTACTGTTATTCAGTATTCTTTCTAGTTCATACATGTAACACTGCTGTATGCTCTAACATTGATTTGTAGTTGATAATGGAGTATTTTCTAATATTGTTTGGTTTTGGTTAAAATGACGAATGTTTCACATAAATGGAGTGTTGATTAAAACCTTCTATCTTCTGCTTTAGTTGCATCCCCCCCAGTATTCACGTTAGAACTAGAAGATGTTAATGTTGTTGCCCAAGATGATGTAACGTTCTACTGTGAGTTTTCTGGATCACCTACTCCAGAAATTACATGGTAAGTAGTTTGTTGACTCATTTCAAACCAACAGTTCATGAGATTTAAATACCGTAATGAAATATGGTGATTTTTATGTAAACCTTTCCCTGCCCTGTTCATGAAAATGTTATTTGTAAAACTCAAGATACAAAAACTAAGTCTCTCGTCAATTCCAGGTCAGCTAGAAAATGTGACGTTAAATAAGGAACAAACTTCCCCGGAATGTCTGGATTAGATTAATGTTTAAAAACTTTTCAGTCTATATTTATGAGAAATGCTGACTTTTAAGCGAAATCAGTCTTTTCTTCACATCATGAACATTCAAATACAAATAAAGGAGTCTCTAATAATCAGATCATCAACAGACTTTATGACGTCATGTTATATAATTAAAAAATAGTTGTTAACTCGGCACGTGGTTTAAAAACATTCATAACTCATTCCAGAGTCTTTTGATTTTGGTCGTGAACCAGGTAATAGCACTATAAATAGCGGCAAACTATGGAATTGTTAGCAGGATATTGATTTTGATCTGTTTTGCGGATTGAAGGTTGATATTGAAGTATTTGAAACATCTAAAGGTTATACGAACGATGAAAGGTTATTAAAATGTTTGTAACATTTGAAGGGCTGGAAGATTATGTTATTTAACTATTTGTAACATTTTAAAGGTTATGAGTTGGAAGGTTAGGTTATTAATCTATTTTTATATTTTAAGGGTTATAATTAGGATGAAGAGGTTATCAAATTATTTGAAAGATCTTAAAGGTTAGGAACACCATTGATAGGTTAACATTTTTAAAATATTCCCTTAATCAGAGAAGGTGTAAATACTACTCATTGAAGAGATATAACAAAGTTGTAGTAATTAACGTTTGAACTTGACAAAATACTGTAGTAAAACGTATTATAACAGTTTTATCACCGTTTCATGTGTAACAAAGCTGTAACAACGAACGTTTGAACGTGACAATTATAACAGTTTTATCACCGTTTCATGTGTAACAAAGCTGTAACAACGAACGTTTGAACGTGACAACATGAAACGGTAATCAAACTGTTATAATAAGTTCTTCTATTGCCACTGTAACAAAGCTGTAACAACGAACGTTTGAACGTGAAAATGACAATAAAAGAACTTATTATAACAGTTTCATCACCATTTCACCCAGATATATTTGAATGATTATAACCACACTTATATATTTTATTTCGTACAGGTACAAGGGTGGTATTGAAGTGTTCGACAGCTCACGCGTGACAATCAACATTGATAACAAGTGCAGTTCTTTAATTTTGCGGTCGGTCAAAGTGACCGATAGCGGAAGGATTGAATGTCAAGCTCTCAGTTTATCAGGGTTAGCGACAACATGTGCGAAGTTGTCAGTTGATGGTGAGTGTAAGAACACTCGTTTATCACCAACATTCAACTTTCTCTTCAGATGGTGATCTTTATGTACATCATTTAATATTTTTATATTCAGTAATTCCACTGATAAACCCATTATCAGGTAAAAATTGATTAACCTTTTCAATTATTATCCTTTATCAACGATATTTTATTTGAACTTTCTTACACCAGGTGAGTATTATATTTCCCCTGTTTACCAACTTATTAAATTAATTTTGTTTGTCTCCATGAATGGATGAATTTGTTAACAATTTGATTCCACAGAGGGTTGAGTAACTTTATATTAAAGTGATTTTGAATATGCAAATCAGAAAGCCTCGTGAAAATCGATATGAAGTCGCGGTTTGATGTTTAGAAGATAGTGTAATGAAAACTAATCACCTTGAGAAAATGTGTTCAAATCATGAAATTAGAATTTCCATGACGGGAATACCCTTCGTACTTAATGGCATTGGTTAATAAGAACATGGATCAACATGTTTCCGTGTAGCTCGTAATAAGAACTGTAAATCTGACATTGTTTCCGTGTAGCTCGTAATAAGAACTGTAAATCTGACATTGTTTCCGAGTAGCTCGTAATAAGAACTGTAAATCTGACATTGTTTCCGAGTAGCTCGTAATAAGAACTGTAAATCTGACATTGTTTCCGTGTTTTCAAAGCTCCGCCGAAGATCGTTATGCCATCAAGATATCTGAATGGAATGTTTTTCGATTGTGGGGATACGCTTTGTGTTAAAGTCAGTATCAATGGCAGCCCTACCCCGGAGATAGCATGGTGGCGCAACGGTCGCAAACTCCACGAAGACCCCAGGATCGAGATTCTAGTAGATGGCGACAGAGGTATTTTAAAGATCCACAATCTGGAGCCGAATGACCGAGGCGACTATGTTGTAGTTGTTAGCAATGAGTTGGGAAGCTCTTCGCAATCCTTCCAAGTTACTGTTACAGGTAATGATTGTTGTTTAACAACACTTATAGTTTTTAATGTAAAAAGAACAAACTTCAATATTTATAACTAAAATTGGATAATTCAACATAAAATAAGTCTTATTCCCTTACGTAACATATAGGTTTTTGAACTTTCAGACAAGCCAGATCCACCAGAAGGACGGCCCGTTGTTTCTGATGTTGATTGGAAGTCCTGCGTTTTGTCATGGCAACCCCCGAAACATGATGGCGGTAGTCCAATAACAAAATATGTGATTGAGAAACGTGCAGTAAGTGTGTGATGAAAACGAAAAAAATGTAAAAACTATTATAATGTACGAGAAATCAAAAATTTAAACCCAAAACAATTATTGTTCTGATCAAATCCCTGACGTTCAAAATGGTGGCAGCCAAAGAGTGTTTGTTTCTGGTTACGTTCAATAACATAACGTTTAGCTTTCTAAAGTTCTGCAAGTTGTGATTTACTAACGAGTGTGGAGGCTTACTTTTACTTTAAATATGATCACACCACGTTTTGTGGTAACGATGGAAAATGCTGACTAACAAACATAAACAAACAAGTTAACTGGGTACTTTAAAAAAAAGAATCTGATCATTACATATAAAGAAGCAAGTTAATTGGGTACTTTAGAAGAACGATCTGATTATTACATATAAAGAAGCAAGTTAATTGGGTAGTTTAAAAGAACGATCTGATGATTACATATAAAGAAGCAATTCATTGGGTAGTTAAGAAAAACGATCTGATTATTACATATAAAGAAGCAAGTTAATTGGGTAGTTAAGAAGAACGATCTGATTATTACATATAAAGAAGCAAGTTAATTGGGTAGTTTAAAAGAACGATCTGATTATTACATATAAAGAAGCAAGTTAATTGGGTAGTTTAAAAGAACGATCTGATTATTACATATAAAGAAGCAAGTTAATTGGGTAGTTTAAAAGAACGATCTGATCATTACATATAAAGAAGCAAGTTAATTGGGTAGTTTAGAACAATAGTTCTCAACCTTTTCCAATATCTGTCACCCCTACAAATTTTTACAACAGCTCACTCACTCACTCACTCCAGTTCGAAAAAAGATAAAAAATTACTAATTTAAAATGCAAAAATCCTTT